TAAAATGTGAACCATTTGTAAATTTAGATAAAAATCTCAAGAGATTGAGAGTTTCTAGTGAAATTATTGCTAAAAGACGTTGAAAGCGTTCCAAACTGATTTACCCATTTTATTCAATTGATATCTCAAAATTTTTCTAATTTTTGCTCAACATTAGAACTTGAGTTAAATGTTTAAAAAATGATAAAAGAACTTGAAAATGTAAATTCCTTAACGATTTTCCTGTGTAAAAATTGTAAAGGACGCCATTTTTTGATCGAAACATTTGCCTTCCAGAATTATTAATTTACTTCAGTTCTAGAAAAACCAAAAATTTTTCAGTTTATCAAATTCCCTCCGTCCTCTTCCTTTGAACAACTAGTACAATTCATTTAATTTGCTGAAGAAGGCGAATAAATGGAACAAAAGCAAGAATTCAAATACACAGAAGAAGTGCACTTTTCAGATCTTTTTGAAAAAATTTTTGTGCTGACTTCTATACATCATATCACATAAAGATTTTTTTGATAAGGTCTTGACGGAGCAGTAAGTTGCACGTTGAAAAGTAGTGAGGGGCAGATAATACCCACTGCTGCTACGGTATTGCAGTTATTTCATAACGCCGAAATAATCAATTACAGCAGTTGCTACCGAAGCCAGGGACAATCACCGCTAGAATCTAGAATATTAACTATTGACGGCTTGCTTCAAGACGTTATATATTGTACAAAACTAATTGCGTTTTATTACTGTGCAAACTTGAGATGAAGTACCTCTATTTAAATGCCTTTTACATTAAAATTTCTGTACGTAACTGTTTTGGTCGATGAGTTTATAGTTTTGTCATGCATTTTGCCTCGGCTTGATGAAATAACGTGATGAGTCTTTAAGCTGCACTTTTCTGGGGTCTTCGAAAACTCCGCCAACACTAACTTTCCTTCTTCTTCGCCAATAAGCAGCAAAAACGATGCCATTACGATCTAGTTTTTGCCAAGCTCTACTGTACAGGTTGTATATGAGTTAATAGCTGAGGATGTTCCAGAAATTCATTTATTCTTTTCATATGCTGCATGTAGTCTTTATCTGAATCTGTTATGGCCTACCGCAGTTTAACGAATTACGCCTTAAGAGTTCGGAGAAGAGACACTGATTAAGTGCAAATTTACTTGTAAAATCAAATCACTAACAAGGTAGATTATAAAGGTGCTTTTAGCAGTCTTCTAACGATATCTTTTTGCACTTTTAGAAGTATCCTCTTAATCTGGTACCAGATGCACCAAATCTGAAATCCGCTTATTCCATATCATTATTCCATCAAAACTGTTCTACGCAGATTCCGACACACTCAGAATCACTTGTTGCTCATCACTTTGGGAATGTTTTTCTTCAACCACTGCAGACAAACATCAAATTTACGAGGTAAAGAATACGGGCATTTTGTTGCGGACCTGAACATTAATATGTTGCAAATATTATCTTATTAAACATATTTTCTGGAAAAAAGTTTTTGATAGTAGAAATTTAGCGGACTGTGATAACGTCCGGTTTACAGAAACATATACTGTAGCCGATGAAGATTTCCTAACTACATAATATGTGCGATTACTTTAACAAGATTAAATTATTATCGATTTTTTACCATTCCTCAGCGCAGAACTTTAGACTCTATCAGAAGAACAACACCAAAATTTGAAAAACAAAGAAAAAATTTTTTCTGCAAGAGTTACTTTTCATAAAAAAATTTAAAAGGGCATTTTTTTTTTCAGTTTTTTGAAATTTCTCTTTTTTACATTTGCTCCATTAGTCCACAAGATTAAATGACAGAATTTCTGTAGAGAAAGCAGAACACCTAGTGACTCAAAAACCCTTAAATTCAGTTAAGTTAGCGATAAACTACAAGCCCAGTGAAACAGGCATACTGAGCTGAAAGACGGGAATTTTGCAGTTTTTAAGGGCTATAACTTGGTGAAAAAGTCGCTATTTTGAGTTTTCTTCTTGGATTTTTAAATCTGAACCCAAACTGTAACAAACACTAAAATTAAAAAGTATGCCGACTGGTGGGGAATAGCTAGGTGTCGAAAAAAAAAAAAAAAAAA